GCGCCCTGCTTTGCTGGTCAACCGGCGTGCAGGCGTCCGGTCAGTGAGTTCTCTCTTTGAGGTGACATTGAATCCGAGGCAACTTCAGAAGCCTTACTTTCCAGCCCCTTAACCTGGTTCACGCCTCTAAAGCCGTGCAGGACCAGTGTACGACCGGTTGAATGAACGAAGCGAAAGGCTTTGGGTTGAAGCAGCATTGCTATGAGCATTTGTTCTCCATCATATTCATAGTGGGGCTTTCCGAGTCTTGTCGGTGCCCCAGACCGTCCACCCTTGAGCCCGACAACCGGCAAGACCTACGCTAGTTGTGACCTGTTCGTTTCGCCGCTCACAAGAACCTTAGCCTCAGACCCCGGAGCTTGACAGGGCAAAGCCGAAGCTCGCAAGATCTAAACTTAACTCGCCCGGCTCTGACAGATTGCTTGCACAGGTGGGCCTTCAGCTGGCCCTGGACAGACCTGAGCTTGTTGAGGCCAGAACTGAATGCTGTGGGAACGGAAGCGACATCGTTGTATCCGTTAGCGCTTTGCTTGAAAATGTCACACCGCATGAGCCATGAGCAAGATGTCTTGATGGATGCTACGTGCCAGCTAGATACTAGCCGCCACAGCTACCCCTTTTGCTGCGTAGCTGTGAGGCCATGGTCCTTATTCAAGGCCGAATGGGTGCATGAAGCGCATCGGGGTTGAGGGTGCCGACCTGCCTCGGTATGGGTGGGTTTTTCATTACCTTTGTTGTTCTTCCTCCCTCTCTCTGTGTTATGTGAATACACACGTACGTATGCATGCATGCAATTATGCATGTATGCAATTGTGCATGTATGCATGTATGCATGTATGCATGTATGCATGTATGCATGCATGCATGTTCGTACGTATGCATGGTTGCATGATGGCATGAATGCATGTAGGAATGTTTACATATGCACAGTCATATTCGTTTGTGCATGTACATATGTATGTATATATATATATATATATATGTATACGTATATGTATACATGTATGTTATATGTGTACCCATATACATACGAAAACTTGCATGTCCATCCATGAACCAACCTCGTCGCCTCCTTCGTGCTGTTTGAGCAGTTTTCGTTTTGAAGATGTTTGCGACACAGTGGTGTATTCCTTTGATTGCCAACACTTCGCTTACTAAAACTTGCCGCTGTTTCTTTTTGCATCGCCTTCTCTTATAGTTTATCACATTCGGGACCCGCTGTGCTGCAGTGCTGCAGATGAGCATCTCCGGAAGTTAACGCGCTACTTTACATGCGACTGTCGTGAGAATTTAAGAACTTTTGATGAATCAGAAAAGATGCGGTGATGTTAGTGTCTTGATGAAACTTGGACCTGGGTGAACTTGCGTGCGATTCCGGTTTGCAGATGCCGAGAGCGGGATACGTCTCTGACAGAGCAAATGTCAGACCAGAAGCACTCACAACGGCTAAGGTTCTGACTGACGACGAAACCGTTCCGTACAGATCCCCAAGCATTGAAGCAGTCTCCATGTCTTGTAGACCCCAGGGTCATGAGTGCATATGAGTGCACGGACATTCTGGGTTCACAGCTGCAGATGCTGTCTCAAAGCCCTTGTGTAGTCGTGTGAATGAATCGCCCCCGGCCAGTAGGGTTTGTGTGGCGTATATTGCCGGCAATACGCCTCTCGGTGGTTGTCCTTTGTAGCTTCCCTTACATCGCGATGTCGACGCCCTGCGGCAGAGGGTTTCTAGTTAACGGTCCAAGATTTGCACTGTACACTCAGGATTCCAGAGGAGTGGGGCGCAGATTTCCGGGTTCTGGGATTAGTGTTTCGAGCACGGCAGTTCTGGCCTTTGGTGCTTTCCTGGTAGGTGCTGTGAAACAGCAGCCAGCAACAACACTTGGTGTGGACATAACAGGCGCAGCGACACTAGAGGCATAAACGTCGGCGGGTCTGCCGGTACAGTTCATGACGGTGCTTTCACGTTCAGGCACCACCGGCGATGCCATGAAAGCTCTTCTACAGCCACTTTGCCAAGTCCCAGGCCTGCTTTCGTTCCCATTGGTGGTGTCTGTGGTGTAGTGTTGCTGCTGCGGTTCGTCGTTTCTGGTACTTGTGAGCTGTTCCTGGGTAGCAGCAGGTTTGTCAAGGCCTGCTTCTTTGTCTTAGTTCCGTGATGTTTTTGTGATTCTGGAGCAAGTGTCTTTTGCCCTGCAGTTCCCATTAGTGTTGTTGTGTGGTGCAGCACAGAACGGCACAGAATCTACGAAGAAGTTGAGGCTCTAGAGACTTGTGCATGACAGCCGCTGCTCTGATCACCAGCATCTGTCCGCACGATGCTTCGTTCGGTCTGGTGTAGTTGCCTCTCCTTTTGTGGTCATTGCACGTCCATTCTTGCTTCGAAAGATACGAGTGCCGTTGCTGCCCCAGAACTCCGTACGAGGTGTACCTTGCTTCTTGGACTTGACCCTGCGCCACGTGCCGTCGCCATCTGGCCAGCAGTTGGCGAGGGCTTAAGGGCCGGGGCTACCGACATTAATGTTTGCATTGGCCTTGCAACTTCAAGATTCTGGTACGTAGCTAGCGCTTGTGATCAAGTTAGGACCTCAACTCGGTACAGCTTTCGCGAAGTTGAACCTGAGACAGAGAATCTCGGTCCTCAATTCACTCGACACCCGCAAATCCAACGGCATTTGAGTTGTGTGGCATGGATGCCCGCAAGCCCTAACAGTCCCTAACAGCCTTGGCACATCGGCAAAGTTTGCCGTTTGCTTGGAAACCTTCCGCAACTTGCAGATCTGTGCCACCGCGAGCTGCTGAAACTCCAAATCAAGAGCTCCAGGAATGCAGGGTTTTCAATGCTTCGAGCTGTGGACCTGGGGTTTTGCACTGCAGGGCTAGGACTCTAGGACGTTATACATACATCTTGTACTTTTTCGATGTAACAACCACACGGCGCAGCCGCCTTCACGGCCCGCTGCAGAAGCCTTTGTGACAACCCAGGAACTTTAAGGAGCCCTAGACTGTTTCGATGTACACTTTGGACATGCTGCTGCATCTCGCAGGAATCATCGTAGAAGGTAGTAGCGCAGTCGCAGTCGCAGTCGTGGTCGTCGTCATAGTAGTAGTCCTCGATTCGTAGTCGTGTTCGTGGTTATGGTGGTAGTCGTCGTAGTAGTAGTAGGAGTAGCAGCAGGAGTAGTAGTAGTAGCAGTAGTAGTAGGAGGAGGAGCAGGAGGAGGAGTAGGAGTAGGAGTAGGATTAGGAGTAGGATTAGGAGTAGTATCAGTATTGGTATTTGTAGTGATATTAGTATTAACATTCAGTATTAGTATTCGTATTAGTACTGTTATCATTTATCAGTAGTAGGACAGCAGTAGTAAGTAGTAAGTAAGTGGTAAATAGTAAGTAGTAAGTAGAAAACAGTAAGCAGTAAGAAGTAGGGGGTAGGGAGTAGTGAGTAAGGAGTGAGGAGTAAGTAATAAGTAGTATGTAGTAAGTAGTAACCACTAGTGAATAGCAGCAGCAGCTGCAGTAGTTGTTGCTGTTGCTTGTGCTGTTGCGGATTTTGTTGCTGTTGCTGTTGATGCTGCTGGTGCTGGTCCTGGTGCCGTTGCCTTTTCCGTAACTGTTGTGCCGGTGCGGCTACGGCTGTTGCTGCTGCTGTTGTGGGTGTTGGCGTTGGTGTTGGTGTTGTCGTGGTGGCGGTCGTGGTTGTTGCTGCTGTGGGTTTTCGCTTGTAACTTGTTGTTTGACGGTTGTTGGTGCTTGTTGTTTTTGTTGTTGCTGGTGGTTCGTGGTTAGTGGTGGTCGATGGTTGCTCGTGTTCGTTGTTGGATATTGGTTGTTGTTGGTGGTTGTTGGTAGTTGTTGGTGGTTGTTGGTGGTTGTTGGTGGTTGTTGGTGGTTGTTGGTGGTTGTTGATGTTGTTGTCGTTGTTGTGGTTGTTGTTGTGGTTGTTGGTTGTTGGTGGCTGTTCGTGGGTCGTTGTTGTTGGTTCGTCGTTGTTGGTTGCTGCTGCTGCTGCTGCTGCTGCTGCTGCTGCTGCTGCTGCTGCTGCTCCTGCTGCTGCTGCTGCTGCTGCTGCTGCTGCTGCTGCTGCTGCTGTTTTTTTGGTTGTTGGTTGATAGTTGTTGAGTTTTAGTTATTGGTTGTTGGTTGCCGGTCATTGGTTGTTGCTGGCTGTTGTTTTTTTGGTTGTTCTTGTTGTTATTGTTCTTCCAGATGTTGTTCTTTTTGTTGTGTTTCTTGTTGTGGTTGTTGGTTGCTGCTGCTCCTGCTGCTACTGCTGCTGCTGCTGCTGGCGTTGTCGTTGTTGTTGTGGTTGTCGTTGTGCTTCTTCTTGTTGTTGTTGCGCCAACTAAACAACAAGTGTTAATTGCAAGTACCACGAGCTTTTGCTAGCACGAAGAAGTTCTTCAGAGCCAGCGGTAGAGAGAGGTTCCTGCCGCGCAGCTTTCTGCATGGATCCTTGAGCAGGCAGGTGTGCCCAAAACTCTCATAGGCCCTAAACCACACCGCAAACCTGCCTCTAGAGCCCGATTAGACCTGCAACCTTACACTCGGATTGTCATCTCCTTGTGTTGCGCCGAGCACCCAGCTGGATTCATCACTACAATGTCGCTACAAGCTTGAGTTAGAACAGTCACAAGACCTTTCGTTTCGATAACACACGACGCCCACGAGACATGAACCAAACCCAGACCTCCCTGCCCCCCCCCCACACTTCGACGTCAAATGCCAAGCCTGCAGAACCTGGCATGGGGTTAAGTGTTCAGGGTTGTCGAAGGCTCGGGCTTGACAGTATGTTCCCGGTAGAGAATCGAAAAACCTTTGCCTGGGAGGCGGTTGACAAGAAGCTCCAACAAGAATCTGACAAGGGTCAAGACGGCGGGTTCAACGTCGTGGCACAGTGTGTATATCATGTTGAGCTGTACGTCTAGCAATGCGCATGTAGCCCGGCGGACACTGCACACCAAAAGCCTGGGGCTGAAGAAGTAGCATCACTGTCTTGGTAGGAACACCGCGAACTTCGAGCGGCTCGGCCGCTGTTTGCTCTGGTTCTTCGGAAGCGATCTCATCGCCCCTGCCGGGGTCCGCTACACCCAGGCCGGTTCACTGTTTCCGTTGAGATTATTTTGATTGTCTATCTTATCTTCTTGCTTGCCCGGCTTGCCAGTCGGGTGCGCCACGTTTGCAATTGGATGGCTTCGCTTCTAAACTGTGTGTTGTTCAGTGCAGCTCTCGCACGCCCGTCTGAGCTTCTGCCAGAACTCGGTTTTTCTGTCATGATCTCCTCAAGCCCGCCTGTTTTGAGGACATGCTGCAGTCGGACGAGCACTTCCGCAACTATTGTCGCTATGCCCTTGCTTTAGGCGGGGTCCTGAGCCGTGGATCTTTAAACCCCACACCACATTCCTTCCTAGTGGTCCTATCCCAGAACTTTCCAAGTCGCATCCCAACTTTTTTGTCCGTTGTGACGCATGTGGTCGTTTCGTTTGAGGCACGAACCTCAATTTCGCTGAGCTGAATTGTGCTACAGTAGGTCCAGTAGGTTTCCGTGTGAATCTCGTCTTGGGATTTCAAGCTTTGGTGTTTTCGGGAGTGTGCCTTCCGGGTTACGAGCATCAGGGCATTGAGCAGGTGTTGGTCCAAGAGACTTTTGCATACAGTCGGGAGCCAATGCCAAGGCATGCGCGACGTATTCTTGATCGCATCCTAAATCCGCGAGTGCCAGCTCTCAACCTTTGCAGGGCTACTGCCCCAAGCCAGCCTGACGAAGTCGATGAGCTCCCAGCCCAAAAACTCTCAGACGATCGGGCCCCAACATCTGCTCCTCCTAGTGCGGGAAGTCTGGCAGCAGATTCCGCAGTTTCAAAGGGACTTCAAACAAAAGCGGCCAAGCTTGCAAGGCCATCACAACGTCCTCTGGCGGTTACCTGAAATCAAAGCGCCCGCTTTGGTGGTCACGGGTATCTTGCCGTACTTTTGTCCTACTTGTCCTTCTTCCTCTTGCTCTTCATTCTGCCTCATACTACTACTACTACTACTACTACTACTACTACGACTACGACTACGACTACGACTACGACTACGACTACTGCTACTACTACTACTACTACTACTACCACTATCACTGCCACTACTACTACTACTACTACTACTGCTGCTACTACTACTATCACTACTACTACCACTATCACTCTTACTCTTACCCTCACTATTTACTATTACTATGACTATGACTATGACTATGACTATCACTATTACAACTCTATTACTACTACCGTTACTGTCACTTTTACGACTACTACTACAACAACAACTACTACGACTACGACTACTACTACTACTACTACTACGACGACGACGACGACGACGACTACTACTACTACTACTTTTACTTTTACTTTTGCTATTACTGTTACTGTTACTGTTACTACTATTACTATTACTATTACTATTACTATTACTATTACTAGTACTCGTACTGGTACTGGTACTGGTACTCGTACTCGTACCCGTACTCGTACTCGTACTCGTACTCGTACTCGTACTCGTACTCGTACTAGTACTCGTACTCGTACTAGTACTAGTACTAGTACTAGTACTAGTACTAGTACTAGTACTACCACTACTACTGCTAGTACTAGTACTACCACTACTACTGCTAGTACTAGTACTAGTAGTAGTGCTAGTACTAGTACTAGTACTAGTACTAGTACTAGTACTAGTACTAGTACTAGTACTAGTACTAGTACTAGCAGTAGTAGTGGTAGTACTAGTACTAGTACTAGTACTAGTACTAGTACTAGTACTAGTACTAGTACTAGTACTAGTACTAGTACTAGTACTAGTACTACTACTACTACTACTACTACTACTACTACTACTACTACTACGACGATTACGATTACGATTACGATTACGATTACGATTGCGATTACGATTACGATTACGATTACGATTACGATTACGATTACGATTACGATTACGATTACGATTACGATTACGATTACGATTACGATTACTATTACGATTACTATTACTATTACTATTACTATTACTATTACTATTACTAGATACTACTACTAGTACTATTACTAGTTACTAGTACTATTACTATTACGATTACGATTACGATTACGATTACGACGACGACGACGACGACGACTACTACTACTACTACTACTTCTATGCCGCCAAGGCATCCTGATACGACTTTCACACCGCTGCTTCTGATACTGCTACTGCTCTTGTAAGTGCACTGCGACTGCGACTGCTCTTGTGACTGCTATGAATCCGGCCCCTGCATTTACATTGGCCGGCTGTTTGCAAGCCGAGGCACGCCAGACTTCATCACACCTGCACGGTGCAGTTACGTACCTCGTCTGCCCTGGGCGATACCTTCAAGGTCTTGAGCTAGGTTTTCCCCGGTATTGTCAGCAGGCGATACATTCTGTGCTTCATGATCCCTGCATACAAATGGTGCAGATGGCATTTGTAAACATATTTTGATCTTTATCTTGGCATTCTTGTCAAGATGATGCTTGAAGTCAACATGTTCTTGCTGTTCTTGATGTCGGCGATAATGTTAATCAAGATGACGAGGGTGATGATGATGATGATGATGACGACGACGATGCTAGTGCATAATGCGCCTTCCGCGTATGCCCAAAACCCGAGAGGGTGGTGGTGGGTGGTGGTGGTGGTCCTGGTGGTGGTGGTGGTGGTGGTTGTGGTGGCTGTGGTAGTGCTGCTGCTGTTGCTGCTGACAATACACTGCTGGTCCCTAGTTTCGGTGGCATGCTGTCCATTGGCCGAGAAAACCGTAAAACCTGCGTTCTGCATTTCTGGATGCTCGAATGTAAGCACCTCAAACCCCACATCCTGTTAAACAAATTACAATGAAGCACCTAGGACATGGCCGCATTGTTGGGCGGGCCGACGGAGCTCATTGCATCCTGGCAGAATTTGGTTCGACTTCGGTTTCGAGTTTTGAGAACTCGGAGCCCCAGCTCAAGGCTTTTGGGGCTGGATGGCGGGGGGTTAGGTTTGGGGATGTACAGGGATTTAGGTTCAGCCTTGCACCCTCACGACTCCAAGTTGATTGCTTTGTACGGCTGGGTGTTTAGGACGACATCAGCGGCTCGCACTACTACATCTACGAGGTCTGGCAACCCGAAGCGTGCTCGTATCCTGACAGTTCGGGCAGAAAAGTGTCGACTTCGGGAGTTGTGTCAAGCTCCAAACCCCATAAAATGGTGTGAGGCGTAGACTGTCCACTGCAACTCCATTTCCGAACAGTCCGCAGGAAGCGGACGTCTGAAGAAGGAACAGACTGCTACGAATCATATTCGTGAGAAAAAAGCGAACACCACCAAGAGTCGACGTACCAGATGGAAGTAGGGTACGTCTACGACAACAACTTGAAATTGCCCCGAGAGCTTCTTATGACAACGGCAATCCCAAGTGCCACCAGATGACCGAGCAACGGGAGCTCAGAGGGAACCATGCCAACAAAAAGGACCCAGGAAAAATCTGCTACCAAGTAGTTGCACAAAGTAGTACTGCCGCCGGATTCCACATGAGTGTAGCATGCGACTTGATGCCACCAGGATGGCCTCCTGTGGCGACTGCATTTATATTCGCTGGTTTCGGTTGCTTTGGGTTTGGATTCCAAGGTCGAGGCCTCAGGGTGTTTGCTGTCTGCCCAACACAGCCTTAAATCACGCAGCTTCAAAACCGTCAACCCGACAGAGGAGCCTCAAAAGCTGGCCGGAGAGATGGCAGCGTTCTTGGAGCGCACGGCCCCAGTGAAGCTGGACGCCTGAGGTCTGGGGTTTGAAGCAAAGCCTCCGAGATCTTATACCTCTCATGCACCTCACTGTTACCCTAAATGTCTGCACTCACGCCTGCACTTAGAATGTGTCTTTTGGGTTTGGGGTCTAGGAGAAGGGATGCCCGCTGGCGACGGAAGCAGTGGTCGCGGCTTAGCGAGCTAGGGTGTTCTTCCAGAAGTTTTAGGGTTTAGGAGCCAGCCAGCAGCCCTGACTCAATCCTCAAAGCCAAACCGAAGAGCCAAGACAGATTCAGAAGCCCCAAGATCAATTCTTGACTCTGCAGATGCGGCAGGAATCCAAGTCGCTTCGCCTCTTGCCGGGCCTGCTGTGAAGGCTCGTGGTTTCGAGTTTTGAACTGAAGTATCACATTTAGCGGATGACAAGACAGATAAAAGAATCAAACAAAGCGTCTCTGTCAAATATACATACATACATACATATATATACATATACATATATTCACTCATGTACACAGGTCGTATGTTATATGTAGGGAAGGATACCTATGTAGATCACCCACACATATATACATATGTATATAAACACATGCATACATACACACACACACACACATATACATATCCATATACATATCCATATACATATACATATACATATACATATACATATGCATATACATATACATATCCATATTCATGTACATATGCATATACATATACATGTACATATACACATACACATACATATACATATACATATACATATACATATACATATACATATACATGCATACATGCATCCATGCATCCATGCATACATGCATACATGCGTACATGCATACATACATACATACATACACACACACACACATACGCACACATACACACACACACATACACACACATACACACATACATACATGCATACACACATACACACACACATATGCACACATACACACATATACACATACATACATACATACATATA